ATCACAATTGGGACCAGCAAAGTGAAGCAGTCGCTAAGTGAAACCAGGACCATGCTTATGATCTTCCTTCAGTTTTCCTTTCTTTTATAGCAGTCTTTCTCAATCTCAGCAACTTGAAGCAACTTCAACTCCCAGAACTCCCCAGCCAACATAAAGTTGCTGAGATTGAGAAACTGCTTTACAGACTGCGAAGGTTGTAACTGTGAGGATTGGTTGCAAAGTTACTTTTTCACCACAAGTTACTGTGTCTTGGAATTACAAGCCAGGAATTAGATTAAGATAGAAAGCTGCAGTTTTTGTTTTTGCCTGACTAAACCTGTTACCCAAATTTCTGTGGTAATAAGTAAACGAATCATGTATACAAGCATATATACATACATACCAATATCTTTGCTTGTGCAAACTTAATATTTTCTGATATTCTGACATCATTAGAGGTAAACATGGCTCGGCACCTACGCTACTTCTTACATGGAAAAGAAATCACCTTTGCTGAAAAAAGGTGATATTTGAGGTGTCTCCCTTGTTATTACACATTCCCTTTTGAATTTGAAGTGTGTCTATATATTCATGAGGACTATATTCTTTTTAAAAAGGAATTCTCGAAACTCCAGTATTAAGTAGATGCCAAAGGGTGGAATGGCGGGGCCAGAGAGATGATGTGGACCCTCTGTCTTTTATATCCGGGAGCTGCCATACAGCCCTAGGCATTTTCAGGTTGCCAGAGATAAGATCAGCACTTTTATCCTGGAACTGTAACTCGTATGTCTACTTGTGAATGCTGGGAAGAGGGAGAGAACGTGTGACTCATCTGTCTCAACTCCTTCTCCTCATAGATCCCCACATGGGTGGCGGAAGGGCCCGCCGAGGACGCAGCTGTGTGTGTGAACTGTCAGAACAACAGCTTTGGGGACAAGTGCGAGAGCTGCCTACACGGTTACTTCCTGCTGGAGGGGAAATGTACCAAGTAAGACCTCTGGGCAGCTGGAGAGGGAAGCCCTGGGTATGGTGTTGCTCCAGCTGAGCTGAGGGCAAGTGGACAGTTGTTGAGCTGACCCTGTCTCCAGGTTTCACCCTGGGTTTAGCACTTCCAGATAGTTCTCGTGTACCCGTAATAAGACTTCCTGGACTCCAAGGGGAAGTGGGATGGTGCAATCTGAGCAAACCTCGCTGTTAACCTCTCCCTCCTCCCCCAGGTGCCAGTGTAACGGCCATGCTGACTATTGCCATGAACTGGATGGGACAGGATGTCCTTGCCAAAACAACACAGAGACAGGAGGCTGCCAGAACAGTGCCCAGGCTGACAAAAAGGATTGCTATAAACAACAGGTGAAGGGGGCGCTGGGTTCAGGGTGGGGGTCTTGATAGGGATGGGCCCCAAAGAAAAGGAGCTGTGCTAGAATCAGGATAAATAAAAGCCAGTTCAGAGGGAGGGTAATTAGAAGCATGAAATCAAGGGCCATTTCTCTGGACGTTCTTCTGCACTACCCCCACTGTGATAAATGGAAGCGGTACAAGACCATCCATTTCCAAACAAATATTTATTGACTTAGTATATATTTTATTGATGAAGCTGGTAATGGACAATCTTGAAGGCCCCCAATCGCAATAGATTGGAGCACATTACACTTATTCAAAGATTATGGAATTCTGGCTGAATGCTGGGAAGAGGACCATAAAGACATTTTATGGTACCTAGACTGATGCTTGTGGTTGGAGTAGCAATCCAAACCACTTTATTCTGCAGTCGTGCAAGCACAGGAAATGCATATGATGTGAACGCATCACCTTTCTAGAGCCTGTGCAGGTTCCACTAGTAAGTAATTCTGGGATACAGGAAATGATACACACTGTTTAATTGGCATCTCTTAAAATAAAGTACAGAATTTGAGTGGGAAGAAGAACCTAAAATACTTAGAGTAGCTTCCTATAAATCTGCCTGCTGGTCTTTCTCTTTCACTTCAACAGTGTGCCAAATGCCGCGAGTTCTTCCATGGGAATCCAGTGGGTGGCCACCAATGCTATCGGTTGATCATTGTCGATCAGGAGAGCTGCTTTGACCCAACATCACAACTCAACTGTTTCCACGAGCCGAACATCAAGAACCTGCCTTTTGGACGCTCCGTGTTTTTTGGAGTCCAACCCAAATTCACCAACGTGGACATCCGGATCACCATCGATGTGACCTTTGGAGGAGTGGATGTCTACATCTCTACCTCCTATGAAACATTTGTGGTGGACGTAGACCGGGCCACAGGCATCCACTTGGTGCGAATTGTCTCTCCGGGTGATGAAACAGGGGGGCGCAGTGGCCTCAACAATGGAAGCCAGTCCTCCCCACTGGTACGGGAGGCGCAAGCCCATGGCCTAATCACCTACATCACAGTGAGGGAGCAGCAAGCAGTGCTGATCGTGCGAGGGGTCCGAGATCGCGTGGTCATCACTTACCCTCATGAAATCCACGCTCTGAAATCCAGCCGCTTTTACGTCATCTTGCTGGGCATCGGAGGCAGCAGCCCCAATGTCACCGAGTCCCAGGGCCTGCTCTTCTTCCGCCAAGACCAGGCCCACATCGATCTCTTTGTCTTCTTCTCCGTTTTCTTTTCTTGTTTCTTTCTCTTCCTTTCCGTCTGTGTTCTGCTTTGGAAAGTCAAGCAGTTCCTGGACTTGAGGCATGAGCAGCGGCGCCACCTGCAGGAAATGACCAAGATGGCCAGCCGGCCCTTTGCCAAAGTGACCATCTACTTTGAGCCGGACAGCCTGGGGGCGCCTGCCGAGCTGGTCTTCCTCCCTGCCCGCCCCCACAAACTCCCAGCCCTGGCAGCTGCCCAGCCCCTGCCCAGCCGCTTGAAACCCTACCACGAGGTCCCCTATCCTGTTGCCCACTTCCGCCGCTCAGAGCCCTTCCTCTCTCATCTCATGGGGTACTCCTACTCCAGCTTTCGGGTGGGGCCGATTACCTTGGAGCCTACGGACGATGGCATGGCTGGCGTGGCCACCGTCCTCTTCCAGCTGCCAGGTGGGCTGCAGGCCCCCAACCGCGCTTGCCTCGGCTCTGCTCTCGTCACCCTGCGCCACAACCTTCAGGACTACTGCAGTAGCACCCATGGCATGAACAGCTCCCGCAAGGGCCTCCTCAGCCACGAGAACCTCACAAGCATGTCCCTATGAGTTCGTGGGGACCTCCGCCCTGCTTGGGATGGGTGGGGCTTCAGCAATCTTCATCTGCCTCGCGGAGGGGCTGAGAAGGGCAGAACCTGCAGCGGAGCCGGTGTGTAAAGCCTCTTCAGCTAGGAGGCCTTCAGTACGACATTTGGGCCAGGCGGAGCTCTATTTCCACCAAATGGAAAAGCCTGAGGTGCTCCCTGGGGCTTGTGCCTGCTCCGCTCCCCTCCTTCGTGGGAGGGTCCCGGAGCCACTCAGGAATGAATGGATGGTGCAAGGGAAGCATTTGCACGGCCACCAGCCCAGCTATTCTCTACGGCCGCGTTCACCCGCTTAACCAAGGCCTAGTGGGTGCCTTGGTGCAACATGCTAAGCTTGGTTAGTATCAATTGGTAGATCTTTCGTGTCTTGATATGTGTGAACCCAACCCATTTGTTTAGCTGAGGTTTTCCTGTATTGTGGAAACTCGGAAAATGAATCAATTCATAGTTCAGCTGAGCATGTTGTCTGGAGGCAGCCTTAGATCGAGCCCTGGGCCAAGTTTGTCAAAAGGTGGGTGTAGAGATGAAAGAAGAAGAGGGTTTCAGCTTGATTCCTCACAGTGTTGCTCTTCAAGCGCTGGGCGGATTCTTGCCTTGATTTTAGTACCTTACTTTCTACCTGGTTTTGCTGCAGTTTGCCTAGAACCAGCCATCCCATCTCAACGGAAAGAGCCAGTCCTGAAACTCTTTAAGGTAGCTTGTTGGCAATATTGGTCTTGGACCAGATACCTCAGTTTGAGCAGGAGAAAACTTTGTTCGGAATTAATCATGTTAGTGTGGGGTGGGGGAGCAGGAATGATCTCCCTACAAAGTCAGAGAAGCGCGTTCTGGGCAATTCTCCGGCACGTGGTTTTATTATATTAATGAGATTTTGTGTCGATACGCATCTCCCAAGCAGTAGAGTCTAGACCAGTGTTTCTCAACCTTGGCAGCTCGAAGACGTGTGGACTTCAACTCCCAGAATTCCCCAGCCAGCTGTTTGCTGTGCTCAGCTCCCCTCTGCACGACAGCTTGCTTTGCCTCTGCAGTGGAATCCCCATGGCTGGCTGGGGAGTTCTGGGAGTCGAAGTCCACACGTCTTCAAGTGGCCAAGGTTGAGAAACACTGGTCAAAAGGAAGTGGTCCCTTTGATTCCTCTGAGATAGCTAGTCCTTTCATTTTGCATAGCCTCTTGATCTTGAGCGGCTGGTTTGTTGCAACACGAGGCAAGCTGTCTGCGATGAAAGTCTTTCATCCCATGCTGGAGGTGAGCAAATGGAAATCCGGGCAGAAGCGGTTAATTCCATGCAGCTGAACTGGTCAGAATTGGAGAGCTATTCTGCCTTTTCGTTCAAAGTTCCCGTTGCTGCCTCTGTACGTGTCCAGATGTATTGCCAAAGCCGGGGGGGGGGGGGGGGG